ATGTTTGACTTCTCTATCCCACCAGACGCAGCGCTGATTGACCCAAAAAATAAGATAAAGCCAAAAAGATAATTTACATTTATCTTTTTATTTTCATTTTTATTTCTTATATTTGATTCTGAAGCATCATCTATTCAAAAATGCATGAGTTTGTTAATGGTGATTTGTATTTAGTTTGTTTGTTAACTTTTGGCATGAGTTTGGCTCCATTGAGGGAAAGGTGCAGCTAACAACATAATCATAAAAGTATTTATTACAGGATTGTTTTCTTTTTATTGGGCTAGGCTTTTAATCTTCTTGTCACTGTTGTATATTGATATTAATCTGTAAGAGTATAGGTCGCTCTCACTGTTGGGATTCTTTGCAGGTTAATGATTTATGATATATCAAATCTTCATACAGACGTTAAACTGCTGTATTTCAAAGTGTAGTCATTTTGAATGCAGTTGAATAAACAGAGTTAAATGTAATCTAAGCGTCAAACAGTTCAACTTTCAGCCATATTTAGGTGTGCAAACATATGCAAATATTAACTTTGATCAGCACTTAATAGATTCAGCCTTCAGTCTATTTCAGGATTTTCCAGCCACTATGATAGCTAGACATTGTCCTACATCTGAAATCCAGTGCTGCAGTCCTTCCAATATTATACACACTGCATTTCTTTGGGTCTGGTATTCACCCTCATTATTTTGTTCTGTCCTCTAGACCTGTCAATGCTAAAGTCTATTCTAAAGTGGAGATTGCGCGGCCGTCAGCTGCCAAAATTCGCAGCCTGAATCCTACTTTTGGAGGTCAGGGCACGTCACTGACTGGCCTTCGTAACCTTGGAAACACATGTTACATGAACTCCATCCTGCAGTGTCTGTGTAACACCCCGGCCATGGCTGAGTACTTCAACAACAATCTCTACATGGAGGACATCAACAGGTCAGAGAAGTGGAATTACTTTCAAATGAAGAATCAGCTGTGAGGGGAAATGTCGAACACATATATCTCTGTTGTCTTCCTCTGCCAGGTACAACATCCTCGGTCATAAAGGGGAGGTGGCAGAAGAGTTTGGCGTGATCATGAAGGCGCTGTGGTCCGGTCTGTACAAGTGCATCAGTCCGCGAGACTTCAAGGTCACCATAGGCAAGATCAACGAACAGTTTTATGGCTACGACCAGCAAGACTCCCAGGAGCTGCTGCTGTTCCTCATGGATGGGCTGCACGAGGACCTCAACAAGGTAGCGTGCACACTGGTTTCATGCTTATTAAGGACATATACACCAGTACCTAAAGTCTTAAAAATATCTGCTTGGAGCAAAAGAAACAGAAAAGAGAAATGTTATATAACTAAATATACTCACCCTGTATTCAAAATTACATTTTACTGTAAATATTAAGTAATTTAGTTCTCTCAAATATGGCTTTTTTTCTTCTACTACCCCTGTATGTTGTTCTACATTTGCTTGTCGACAATAAGAACTTAGTCTTTTATTATTTTCCCTCTTTCTGTTTTTTCACTGGGTTTCATTTTGATGGCAAATTAGAGAGTAAGTAAATAGCTGTGTGTCCTTGGTCCTCCTGCAGCAGTGTGAGTGTGGTGTGTCTGCATCTGTCTGGTCTGATGCTCCGTCAGACCCTCTGTGCATGTAGACCCAACACATGCCTCATTGCCTGTATCGACTGATCTTTACCGGCGTCATGTGCATCTGAATGGGGGAAAGGGCTAGATGATATGATTTAAAAACAACAACAAAAAACACTTTACTAGCTTGGTATCTACATTATAAAATTTCATTATCTCACTTTTAAAGACGTTTTTCACAGGGAAGCCTGAAAAGCTGTTAGAGAATTTGGGGATTTGAAGACCATTTTACTTTTTTGAGTTTTTCACTCTTTCAAATCTTAAGGACAAGCTGCCAGTTGGAGTGTAACAGCTGATGACGTCCATTTACCACGACACTCTCCATCTCATCACGTCCCTTTCGTGTGATGTTCAGACCATCAGGCTGACCCCCGTCTCCATCCATTTTGTCCTCTTCAGGCTAATTGATAATTCAGTCAGTCTAATAAATGAGATATTAATTAGCTACTCCCTTTTCATATCTTCCTGCCTCTTATCCTGAGAGTGACCTGGCTGAACTGCATGTTAATGAAAGGAAAGAGCTTAGATGGATGTTGAATAGCAATTTGTTAAACAGACATTACAGTACTACAGTTATGACCAGTTTATTCTGTATCAGCCGTCACTCGGTGACAGAGGCTTTGCTTTCACCTAAAGCTGCAGCAGTTCCATTTTACCATCATGTTGTTTTTTCCATCTCTGGGGTCAGGCGGACAACAGGAAGCGGTACAAGGAGGAGGAAAATGACCATATGGACGATCAGGCGGCAGCTGACCTGGCGTGGAGCAAACACAAGCTGCTGAACGAGTCCATCATCGTAGCGCTGTTCCAGGGGCAGTTCAAGTCCACGGTGCAGTGTCTGACCTGCCATCGCAAGTCACGGACATTTGAGACCTTTATGTACCTGTCGCTGCCTCTGGCCTCCACCAGCAAGTGCTCCCTGCAGGTCAGTCATTAACCACATGCATCAAAGAGTGTGGCAGGAGTTTCTGCTTTGTAGTTTCTGAAAAGTGACATCTGTACATTGTAATGCTGAAATGTTTGCTGCTTCTTGGCAGGATTGTCTGAGGCTGTTCTCCAAGGAGGAGAAGCTGACAGACAACAACAAGGTGTTCTGCAGACACTGCAAGGCCCACAGAGATTCCACCAAGAAACTGGAGATCTGGAAAGTCCCACCCATTCTCCTGGTGCACTTAAAACGGTCCGTTTAACTTTTTAAATCCACGTCTGCAATTTTCATTCTCACTGTTTGAAGATAAAATTAAGAGAGATCCAAACCTAATATTTGTGATCTCATCCTTTGTGCAGATTCTCGTATGAGGGGAGATGGAAACAGAAGCTGCAGACAACCGTGGACTTTCCTCTAGACTGTCTGGACCTGGCTCAGTATGTTATTGGACCCAAACAGAACCAGAAGAGATACTGTCTGTATGGAGTTTCTGTAAGTAGCAGTGAAATTATTTTTGGGGAAGAATCTTGGGAAACAAAAGAGTTTACTGTAGGTGCTTCTGTAAAACAAGCATACCATGTTTGGCACCTCAGCAAGACATATTGATAAGGCAGAGAAAATAACTTGGATGTTTCCCAAGCAACACTGAAATATGATTTTCTAACTGTTAAGACTTGGGCTTAACCTTCTTCTTTTCCACTGCCAGAACCACTACGGGGGATTAGATGGCGGCCATTACACTGCGTACTGTAAGAACGCCACCAAGCAGCGCTGGTACAAGTTTGACGACCACGAGGTGTCAGAAATCTCCACCTCCTCTGTCAAGTCATCCGCAGCTTACATCCTTTTTTACTCCACCCTGTGAGGAAGCTGCGGGACACGAAGAGAGAAAACTGACGCCACATCAGCGATGCTCAAGCCTAGAGGTTGTTAACTTTTTTTCATTTTAAATCCACAGCTCTGAGAACCCGGTGCTCGTAGTTGCGGGTTAACTCGTCATGCGTGTGAACGCAAAGACGCCCTCGAGCGAGCGGCCATGAGACCCCGCCTATTCCAGATCGGAGAGCGGTGCAGTCACACGGTGCAATGCTTCAGCTACTAGAGGACCTTTATAGCTGTTAAAAACATGCTGTCTGCTCATATTACTGATCATCTAGAGACTAAACAGATGCTCCTATACTTTGGTAGTTGTGTTGTAGGACTGACATCTGGATCAGATGCTCTTCACTCTCATTTGCATTGCACAGTGTGGATGGATGATCACAGAACTGATCCTCAGCTTGTTCTGTGTATCCAGCAGGTTAACAGTTAGATAGCATGTACATACCTAACAATGCTGATGTTGCACATTCAAATAATGTAAATACTACTCGAGGGCAAGTTGAAAATTTGTTAAGTGACCAAATTATTATTTTTCCTTGAAAGTAGCAGCCATCATAGTATCAGCTTATTCATACAGACAACCCATGTGTTTTAGGGGTTGAACTCAATAGCCTTCTGATGCTCAACTTCATCTTGAAATGTACGAGACTGTGAGTGTTGAATTTTGCATTTTTCCTAAAGAGTGGAGGGAACTGAGATTGTTGCGTGTTCATGTTTCCCACCGTCTTGCACTTACACAATATGCAATAAATTTTAAGTTGTTCATGTAGAACACACTGTTTAACAGTAGACATAAACACCTGACTCAGAATGCTTTGAAACCACACTGTTGCTTGGACCTTGTCCGTCTTGCTCGGTCCAGCCAGTGACAGAAAAACCCACCTGCTGTGAAGTTTGTTGTAGAATTTATTCTCTGTTTGACTCTTAACTCTTTACACGATTATATTCAAACACGAAAACCGTATAGAGGAAATATTACTGGGATAAGTTGGCATCTTCCTTTGCTAGTTTTGAAGGAGGCTGGATTTTGATTCATCTGATGTTTTGTCTGACTCTGGAGAATATGAAGACATGACTTTATTCACTACTATGAGTTTTCTAGTATCAACATTTACTTACTGACAACATTAAGCACAGAGTATATTCTTCTTTTTATTTCTTTTCGGACCGGAGATCTGAGGTGTCTGGATTTGACTCTAGATCCTGACCATCGGTATTGTTGCCTAGCATGAGATCATAATGTTTTTACTTGTACATGTTGATTTTATTTCTTGATGCTCTAAAAACATTTGTTTCAGATATAACGATTATATTAATCCTAAACAACTCATATGACTATTTATTAAAACTGCTTCAAATTAGTGTTTGTGTGTGTGTCAATGCATTTCAGGATATTTTCATGAAAGTGTTGAAAGGCTGAAGCCAAACCCTGTTTATCATCTTGTATTCCTGCAGTTAGACATTACTGAACAAAGAATAATGGCAGCACACAAGTCACTGTAAGATCTACTTTATTCAATGTACAGGTACAGAGAAGTTGACACAGATGTTGCCTGAGTTGAGGTTCATTGATGAGGAGTAGACTGAAAAGAGGTTAAAGTCTGCATTGATCACAATGGAATGGGGGGGGGGGTGATTAAAAAAATAATGTACAGGGAGTTTAAAAGTCCTCTACTGGGTGTTGGCCTGATAGAGTCCATGGATCTTTGGATTGTGGAAAGGCTTGCGACTGTAAAACAGCAGATATGCATTTGGAGACTGCACGAACCCATCCTGCACCTCTCGGACAGCCGAGTCATCAAAACAGTGCCAGCTCCGGGTCAGGGTGTTGTGGCACAGGGCCGTGTAGTGACCCATGTTCAGGTGACCTGCATGGTTCTATAGAAATAGAGGGATCATTTGCAGACAATTTGTCATTTCATACAAATACGTTATACGTATCGTTTTTTTTTTATTTCAAGTGCTTTACACAGTAGTAAAACACTAAAAACAAAAAGAGTCTTTAAGCATAATATCATTGGCAAGGCACAATTTGCGTGCGTGCATGCGTGTGTACTCACCACGACAGCGTACAGGCGGTATGAAGAGTATGAGGTGTTTTGAACTGAGCTGGACAGAAACTGAGTGAGATCGAGCTTTGTGGGGAAAATTACATTCGTCCTCAGTTTCACCTGGTTCTTCCCTTTACATCCAAACCTAAAGGGCAGAAACAAATCATGTGGTTTTTCAGAATGTGTTTAAGCCAATTATTAAACAACATTATCTCTCAGGGCTGTTTAAACACTAGCTTTTCATTATAGAAAACATAACTCATGTTGAATGAGGGTTAGTTACTGTGAAGTTCTCTTTCTTAATATTCATACGTACTTTAGTATGTTAATGTTTTGACAGTTCGTGGGGCAACACTTCACACAATTCAAATTAAAACAGATGTGCCTTTTTTTGTTTCTATGGATTTTCTTTCAGGTCTGGTAGTTCTCCTCTGACCTCTCCCTTAATCAGTTATCTACTCTGACAAAATACTGTCTTTACTAGCCTGATTCTATAAATATATGAATATATAGAACAAATGTGTATTACTTCATAACATATATTATATCTATAAATTGACTCTATAAAGAGTCAACTCAATCTTTTCCACATTATCCATATTTACAAAATCAATATCTTTGTTCCCTGTACAAAACCGAGAGAATGACATAGTTCACAGTAACAGTGAATATATTAATTCACAATAACTGAAGATTCATTGATGAAACCTGCAGCCTCAGGTTTGTAAACCCACCGTTTCAGGTGGAGCATCAGGATCTCGGGAGGTTTGTCCAAACAAGTCAGCACCGCTGTTTCTCTCCTGAGTCCACACACGGAACACAGCATCTTCTCTCCTCCGCTCAGGACAGACTGCTCGAAGAACAGTGACAGGCAGTCCTGCTCAACACAGAGGCAGAGTGAAGGTGATGGAAACCACAGAACAACACGGCCAAGAACCAGTTAAATATGACATGCACCCAGTGTTGGTGATGTTTTGAAGATGTGAACTGATGTTACAAGGCACCTGAATGGAGCACTTGAGGACGCCTGTGGGAATGGCTAAGGACAGGACGGTGAAGGCCTGTGTGCTGTGAGCCTGGTAGTTGCATTGCGTGCAGAGGGTCGTGTAGCTTAGCTGACCCTCGAACAGATGTGACACGATGGTGGAGTCTCCAGCTGCAGTGGTGCAGTTTTTGCTCTGGTCTTTTCTCATCCGTCGCATGTGGCGCTTTGCAACCTTGTAAATAAACACAAACAAACAGATTTATTACCTGCGCAGAGGAGGTTTTGTTTGTACCTTTCTAGGCATCTAAAGGATACCTTACAATATATCATAAATATACAAATGAATAATTAAAGTAAAACCAACATCAGATCAGGAGACATCAAGAGATCAATACAATAAATGTAACACAAGGTTAAAATCAGGTGAAGAGACAAAGACACGTAACAGTGCATATGTGAAGAGTCTGATTAGTGAGGGATAGACAAGATGCTATATATGGTGATGGTGCAGATGAGATGGAGGCCACCGCACTTTTTTCAGGTTGTCATGGAGTGCGTTTAGGAGAAAGAGCAGCAGTTCCTGGGCGTCTTGCTGGGAGTAGTTGTTGAACTGGGGGAGGATGGAGCACAGCACAGATCGAGCCTCCACCGGGGCACAACTGGAGCTCCGGCCCAGCCACATCTCTTCCAGCAGGCGCACAAACACCTCGGCCACCCGGCACTTGGACCTGAAAGAACAGAGTTTAAACCAGTGGGAAAACATGGCCGTCAACATTGAACAAATGAGAGACGGTGTGTGAGATTAACCTTGCCAGCTCTTTGCGATTGTCCTGGTTGAGGAGGTGCTCCACGAGCGGCACAGTGGAGCAGAGACACTGCAGCACAGCATTCAAGTAGCAGGAGTTTCCAAAGTTGTCCAAACCACACACTCCAGGCATGTTCCACCTCTTTCTCTCATGGTCCCTCAGATCACCATAGCTGAAGGACTTGACCCTGGAGGGAGAGTGAAAGAACAGAGCACATATCAATCTCAGCATCTATGCATGTGCAGCTTTTCACCAAGTATCGTCCTTTCAATAAAGTCACAACTTTAAAATCCAAAAATATGTTCATACGGCTGAAAAGTTCTGTTTTTCAACAACTAATTAAATCTATTTAAATGTTGAAGTGATTTATCAGACAAAAATATCAAACTTGCATTTTAAATCATTGTAAATTTAATATTAGCATCTTTGAAATTTTGGATTTTTCACTATTCTCTCAAACATTAGCGACAAAATAAAAGATAAACTCAAATGAGTGTCATTCTAGATGATCATGTTCCTGAAGGATAAGCTGGCTGCGATTCCCGACAGTTGTATGAAGTATTAATACAGAAATGTTTATTACTGTGATCCCACAGTCTATGGTGTTCATTCATGGAGTAATGAGACATGAATATGATCAAATACTTGGTCTTTGATAATAGGTACATTAATATGTAAATGACTTGAATTTGCTAAATGTACTTGTTTGCTTTACATTATCCACACAAAGTCAACTCGTAATGATTTGAATTTAAGTTTGAATATTCTCGTTTGCAACTACATGACAGTGTTGAGCTTAGGATGCTAAATTTGTTTCAACTAGTTTACACAAAACTGTGGCTTGTTTGACCTATTTTGGAAATCAGAACGATGGCCCCTCACATTGTCTGTGCACGACATATTTTAATCCTACCATTAAAACCTTTATAAATAGAGAGAATAACTATATTGAATTCAAAATTAAATAAAAAAGTGCTTTCAAAAATAGAAAGATATCACAGCAGGATTCTTTCGTTTTAGCTTTTTCCAAGTGACGTTGTTATAATCTTGTATTTAGATCTAATATTATGAATTAAAACACTAAGACAGTAAAACTCACCTTTGCATGGACACATTCTTCAGGCTCGTCTCTTGGTGGGAGCTGCTGTTGAGCTGAGGTAAAACAGGCACAGTGATGCTGCTGTCCGTGTTCAGCTGAGAGGCCAGCGTCCTGGTGAACTCCCTCAGGTGGACCTGTCTGCCTGAGCTCTGCAGAGTGTGCAGCACGAATGTGTTGATGCAGATCGTGTGTAGCGTCACCCAGAGGCCCGGGAGAAACACATCCACCACCGGTCCTCTCAGGTCCGGCAGAGGAAGTAGAGCAGGGCCGGTCCAGCCCTGCAGGTGGGCTACGAGTTGAGAGAGCGAGTCCACGACCGCTGGGTCCACGACTGGTCTTTTCACAGTGGGAACAAAATGAATATTGAGCCCGAGGCCAGAGAAGATGTCTGTGACCCTGCCCTCCATCCACGCAGAGCGGTCCAGCTGAACCACGTGTCTGTTGCTGCAGAACGGTCTCAGCAGGTGTTCCACCACCTGCTCCACCACTGGCTTCCTGCTCTGCCTCCGGAGCTGCTCTGGACAGTACAGATACATGTTGCAGATGAACCCTGAGCTCAGGTCGCAGAGGAGGGCAACATGGAGAGAGCAGGGACCCTGCTGGTAGAAGAGCTGGTACTTCTTCACGGCCAGGTTTTGACTGGGTGTGTAGAAGGTCTGGTAGCGCCTGGTCAAGTGGCTGCAAAAAGCAAAGAGGGATTCCAGCTTGTCTCCATCCTCCAGTCTGCTCAGTGACAGGAGTTTGTTCTGGAAGCTGTTTCTCCTCAGGACACCCTGCCATCCATCCAGTTTCAGGGTCAGCTCAGAACCAAAGCTGCTGTCGTCCCCTACAGACAGGCCGCTCTGTAGGAAAACAGAGAACCACGTCAACGCCTCGGCGTACTCCTCCCCGGATAGATCAGTGCTCTGCTCTCTGCTCTGGATGTAGAGTGGATGATTGGCTCCTGCCTTCACGCCGGCAGCTCTCCGAATCAGCTCCCGCACAGCTCCTCTGTCCAGCACCTCCAGCAGGAGCTCCCTGGCAGTGTAGTAGACCTGGTAAGTGGGGCCACTGTGACTCCTGCTGAGCGGCTTCACTTTTTTGGATTTGAAGATGTTTGGCAAACAGAGGCCGTCTCTGTTGGTCTCCATGTTCAGCTCCTCCACTGGGTGGCACTCCTCCGACATCCAGGTGCACTCCCTCACTGACAGAGCCTTTGCCTGCATCTCTCCTTTCTCTGAGATAAAGTTATTTCAGAATGTGATGATGGCGTCTCTCACGAAGGAGTCATCGGATCTATGACCCGACCAAGAGATGTAGCCCGTTAATGATGAGAAAAGATAAAGAGACTCAGGGCACTGTGCGCTCAAGGCGTTCCTCAGGGTATGTGTGTACTGTGCATGCATCTATATATGGCTCTGTGTGTGTGTGTGTGTGTGTGTGTGTGTGTGTGTGTGTGTGTGTGTGTTGATCTGATGTGAAGCACACTGACACACATGAGAATCTGCTGTTGAAGTTGATTCCCTGTAGCCAGACAACAGTGCCTTGGCAACCTCTAAACACAACCCTTTGACCCAGTGCAGCTATCATGACATGTTGTTGTCGTCTTTGTGCACGACTTCAGGCTCATGCTTGACCTTTAGAAGAAATGGAAAAAGCCCTGCATGTCATCAAGCGTAACAACATCTCTCGTACTGCAGCTTTCTGCTGGTGACAAAATACTCACAGATGCATTACTTTCCCTTTTTTCATTCTACCCATTCTTTCTCCCTACAACTCTCTTGTAGCGCACTCCACACTCCTAGTGGACGGCTATATATGACTCAGGAAGTAGAGCGGGTCGTCCACTATAACACAGAAAGTCAGTGGTTTGATCCCTGGCTCTCCTAAGTGTCCAGTGATGAGACACTGAACCCCAGATTGCCTGACAGCTGTGCTGGCAGTGTGTGAATGATGTGTGATAGACAAAGTGCTGCAGATGGACTGGATGAATGTGTGTATTATTGTGAATGGGTGAAAACAGTACTGTAAAGCTGAGAGGACTTCTAAATGTAAATAAATATAATTTACCATAATCAGCCATTCCTTTCACTGCTATTGTCGATAGGGCCGTCCTGTCCTCATACATGCAGGTGTTCTGAATAGCCAGTAGGAGCCACTAGTGCAGCAACAAGGACGTGAACCTGTCCCTGTCTTTTCCACAACCTGGAGCACTATCAAATGTGTATTGTGGGATCAAGCAGCGAGCCACAGGTATCTGTATCAGTGCTGGTAACTGGATCTCTGTGGTTGAGGCTGAGGCTTATGATCTAAAAGTAAATTCAGAGGTGGTGCCAACACCAACATAGAAACAGCACTGGAACATGAGTCTGTGGCAAGTTTCTTAATCCATAAGACAAAGTTTTCTGTATGAGCTGTCTCAGTGGTAGTCAGAATTCATATTTTGAGCTTGTGAATCTGTGTTCACAAATAATTTTCCCAGTCTACAGCTGTATACCAAAATTCAAGTTTGAGAAAGTTAGTTAGTCGTTAAGAAAGAGGTAATTTATAATACTTACATACTGTATGTAAAGATGGACAACGCACGTACAGGAGGAGGCAGGGTTCTATACTGCAGTCGGGCACCAGGTGGCGATGAAGATGGTTTGGCTTCACTTATGAGAACTGTCATGTGGTACATCTTTATCTTCAGTCCATGGTCAGGACTAAGTGACACACCTGTAGAAACTATTGATATGTTGATCCATTCTTCACCATCTGGGAACAGAAATGGATTAATAATTTGAAAACTTATTATGGCTGCAGCATGACTGTAATCTTCTTTGCTAGTTAACTGTGAAATGTGACAAAAAAAAGAGACATTTCATTATAATCACAATAAAAAACCAGCACCCCTGCTAAGGTCCAACAATCCCCTTAATGAAACCACATTTAAATTCACTGGATCCAGATTTTCATTTGAATCGGCTGCTTAAAAACTAACAAACGAACAAATGGATCGGGGTGAAAACATAACCTTCTTGTCAGAGGTAAAAAATGTAATATCAGTGTTTATTTCTCCACAATCCTGCTTTTGTTGTCTTAAACTCAACTGGATTTGTACCAAATTGACAGAATGTGTCTCCAATATTGTAAAAATACAATTTCACGCAAAAGAAATAATATTGTAATGCTTCATTGTACATTCATACAAAACAAAACAAGCAGTTGAACACATAATAAGAGTCTTTCTCTTGCCATCTTTTGTGTTTATTCCTGAGAGTACGCTGCAGCCTCAATGTGTCGTGATCATATCCTGCCTTCTATCGTCGAGGGTGGAAGAATCAAACAATCACCTCGAGGGCCCTGGAAGCTCTCGTGCATAAATCAAATCCACTATTGGGCTCAGGATATGTTAATCCCTTCATATAAAAGGGCGTCCTCTCTCCTTCACTGCGCCCTTTGAGCTTTCTAATGACACCAATTCATTTATACACAGACAACACAAGACTGTTTCCGTTGTTACAGGACGAGCTTCACTGTGAAGTGGCCAAATCATGACACCCACACAATGAATAAGAAACAAAGCTGGTTTTCAGAGGGTAGTCTCAAGTTATACGTACGCAGTGTATTTGTATATTTGTGTGTATATTATTCCAGCACCTGAGCAGCTTTTCTTTCTGTTTTTCTGTTTTTCAGGCCTATGGTCGAACTATGAACCTTACACCTTTTGTTTTTCTCTTAATAAAATTCATTATAATTCACTGAACCCTAAGCTACGTCGGACAGCCGTTTGCCATCTACTCTTATTTTCTGTGTGTGGACACCATATAGTCTGTAAAGACACATCTCCACTTTCTCCCACTATCCAGAAACCAAGCCAAAATATCCCAGATATGAACGCTGCCATCTTACTCATTTGGAACCCGAGTCTGTGCGGAAGTGATCAAGGAATGGAGCCTTGCTAACAAGGTCTGGTCGATACAGGCGCTCGACCAATTGTGAATGAGTCTCAGCTGTCAATCATAATGCTTTGCTTTTTTTTTATTGCATCAAAGAACAAATTAAAACCAAATAACCAATAAATGCGACTTAAAATGAAAAATGATTAGAAAAATGTGAAATAACTGTGAAATAACAGCAATGGGATTATGAAATATTTCAAAATAGAAAGAGAACAACAAAACACACATGACAGAAGGTTTAAACTTGATCATAGGGTTCAACATACCTGATTTTATTTGCTTTTGACAAGCACTTTATTTTGAAAAATGGATTTCCCTGCTTGTGTAATTGGTCAGATGACATTTGTTTAATGCCATGTTCTAAATCTGCTGTACTCGCACGACAGAACCTTTATCTAACTCACATCAGATGACTCCTGCTGAGGAGAAGCTTGTGTTTTCATTTAGCCTCAGCTGCAACAATCCTTTAGTACGAATAGTATCTGAGTGTATCCACGATGAAAATAAAACAACCTCATTGTGAGGTTGTTTTGTGCCCTCTGTGTTATTTAATTCATCTTGTCACTACAAGATAATTAACTCTTGCACAGTGGGATATAAAAACATGAAGCACATGCTTCCAGTCTGAATATTACATGTCTCATGTATAATAATAAATGTGCTTCACCAGGGACAGTCATCGCTTCTATGCAGAATGTATCGAGGACACAGTGACTATTAATTAAGTCTTTCGAATAACTGTCTATGAATGAGGACACATCACGTCAGCCACTGTTGTTTATTCAATTTAATTCAGTTCATTTTGTAAATTGGAGGAAGTTTACATCACAAGTTCGAGTCCTCACAATATGATACAGAGGAACACAACCGTTCTCACTGTGAACACGTTTTTACGTTTCAGCTTCAAATTCATTATGTTCAACTGAGAACTGCAGTTTTAAGTGGATTTATCTTCTGTCAATGATCGTGCGAGTTAAAAGCTCCTGTGGTTCAGTGAGTGTCCCACACACGGAGGGAGCGGCCGCAGGTTCGATTCTGATCCTCAAGTGTCGTGAAGAGAAGCTCAACGCGACACAACGTAAGTGAGTCTGTATGTGTGTCTGTGTTTGTGTTGGGGGGGTTGTAGTGTGGGCCTAGCGTTAGCCTCGTGCATATAATTAGCAAATACAGGTAACATGACTGACTTAAGCTGACAAACAGGCTAATGTCTTGTAAGCTAGCTTTGTCTTTCAACGGCGACACAGTGAAGACAATATATTGATGTGAGGATGAAGCTAGCATGTTATGTAGCCACCTAGCATGATGTTAGCCTGTTTTTGTGTAGTTGCTCAGATTACTTGACAGTAAAGTTTACGAGAGGTGTTTGTCACTTCTTAGTATCCCCTGAAAACACTTCTGTTGTGTTCTGAGTATTTGGTTGTGTTGTGAATATTTAGTATATGCTAGTGTGGTAAGTGTATAGTATTTGGTTGTGTTGTATTTGGTTGTGTTGTGA